GATTTGATAGTCAGGGACGAACCCAGTTGTGCAGACAGGACTGAACTCGGCAGATTACAAAAATAAGTATTTTAATAGTGAAATAAGGAACAAAATAAACAGCTGACGTGGCAGCAAAACTTACATGAAAACGGAAGGCTCAGAGGGAAACTCAGGGAGGACTCAGGAGAGCTCAGGGGAGACGCAGGAGAACGCAGGAGAACACAGAGACCCAACGAATACGACTTGACGAGGAACAACACAGAACAGGAGGCTTATATACAAGGACAAGACAAGACGTGATTACAACAGCTGTGACGAGACAAAGGTGGCACCAATTAAACTGACGAGGAAACACTAGGGAAACAGACACAAACAGAACCACCAAATGGTACCATCCTTACAGTACCCCCCCTCAAGGACGCCTCCAGGCGTCCCCAAAAAACCCCCCTCCCGAAGGACTTGGGCGGGTGGAGGGCGGCACTGCTAGGGTGGAGGGCCAGAGGAAACACAAGGAAGAACACAAGGACCTGAAAGAACTAAGGCAAGACACAAGCAGGAAAAACACAAAAGATCTGAACGGTCAAGAGACCGTCCCTGGAGTCATTGTTCAGGAGGACGGCCGGGAGGCCGTCCATCATGGGACCCACGTTCAGGAGGACGGCCGGGAGGCCGTCCATCACGGGACCCACGTTCAGGGGGGCGGCCGGGAGGCCGTCCAACACGTAGGACCTTGGAGGCCGCGGCAGGCGGCGATGACACCTTGGAGGCCGCGGCAGGCGGCGATGACACCTTGGAGGCCGCGGCAGACGGCGAGGAGGCCGCGGCAGGCGGCGATGACGGCGAGGAGGCCGCGGCAGGCGGCGATGACGGCGAGGAGGCCGCGGCAGGCGGCGATGACGGCAAGGAGGCCGCGGCAGGCGGCGAAGAGGACGAGGAGGCCGTGTCTGGCGGCGAAGAGGCCTTGGGAGCCGCGTCTGGCGGCGAAGAGGCCTTGGGAGCCGCGTCTGGCGGCGAAGAGGCCTTGGGAGCCGCGTCTGGCGGCGAAGAGGCCTTGGGAGCCGCGTCTGGCGGCAAAGAGGCCTTATGAGCCGCGTTTGGCGGCGAAGAGGCCTTGGGAGCCGCGTCTGGCGGCGAAGAGGCCTTGGGAGCCGCGTCTGGCGGCGAAAAGGCCTTGGGAGCTGCGTCTGGCGGCGAAGAGACCCCGGAGACCGCGTCTGGCGGCGAAGAGGGCTTGGAGTCCACAGCTGGTGGCGAAGAGGGCTTGGA